AGAGAGAGAGAGAGAGTTGAAGAGTGGTCCTTGACTGATGTAACCTGTTTTCTCATTATGGGCAACCTTTCTAACCTCGCAGGGGTCTCTCCTTCAAGCTTAACACAAGGACCCCACACACACACATTTAATGGTATCCTGTCATTTATGTGTGCGTGTGTGTGTGTGTCTGTCTGCACATATGCAGTCCTTGACATGTCCCAGTCATTAGAAAAACTCCCGCAAGAACATACAGAATGAGCAGATGTCACTGTGCCCTTGTGAAGTCACAGACACAATGTGTGCGGACACATTCACACATAGTAACCTCAATCAGGTCCAGTCAACCATTTTTCTTCTACCCTCAAATTAGACCACCACCTGAGGTCTAAAAATCTGTGAATCAGGTGGGAAGAAAAAAGTCTCAGTCCTGTCCAAAATGTGTTTTTTTTTTAACTAACATCTCTTCTGTCCTCTCTTTTTGCTTGCAGCCCAAATTGAAGTTATACCATGCAAAATCTGCGGAGACAAATCATCAGGTATCCACTATGGAGTCATTACGTGCGAGGGATGTAAGGTGAGGCTTATTACAGTGATTCATCAAAGCCTGTTTAGTTTGTTTGTGCTCGGAAATTGCGCATTTACATCTACGGCTACCTGCGAGTGTGTATTCACTCTCTGTTGACGTGTTTCCAGGGTTTCTTCAGACGGAGTCAGCAGAACAATGCATCCTACTCCTGCCCCCGCCAGAGGAACTGCCTCATCGACAGAACAAACCGCAACCGCTGCCAACACTGCCGCCTGCAGAAATGTCTCGCCCTAGGAATGTCCAGAGATGGTAAGGTCCATTAAATCAGTATCTATATCTACATGTATTTAAAAAATATTATCACTAAATGATCACACTGTATGTGTAATGCATGTGTGTACACACAGATCTTATGCAGACTTGTATCTGAGGTCTTAGGCTCTCTTAGGTTTTTTCCTACTTTAACATGCTGTATTTTAACTGCTCTACATTGTTTGTTTCTTACTGATTTATGCTGCCTGAGGCAACTAAAATGTTGTGAGTTTTTTTGGTATTCATTTGGTCTCCCTCCCTTGTTGCAGCGGTAAAGTTTGGCCGCATGTCCAAGAAGCAACGTGACAGCCTGTATGCAGAGGTCCAGAAGCACCAGGCGCGACTGCAGGAGCAGCGGCAGCAGCAGACAGGCGAAGCGGAGGCTCTGGCACGCGTTTACTCGTCCAGCCTAACCAACGGACTGTCCACCCTTAACCATGAGATTGGGGGCACCTATGCCAATGGCCACGTCATTGAGCTGCCCAAGGGTGGCCATGGCAACGGAGGGGGAGTCCCAGGGGGATACTATGGAATGGATTCCACCCAGCCGTCTCCAGACCAGTCAGGTTTGGACATGTCGGGCATGAAGCACATTAAACAGGAGCCGGTGTATGACCTGACGCCAGTACCCAACCTGTTCAGCTACGGAGGCTACCAGGACAGCCAGCTGGGACCCAACAATGTCAGCATGGGAGAACTAGGTAAAGACTGCATGACATTTTGCTCCGTCAGTACACAGTACAATGGCTCATCATTTAAAATCTACATGAATTATCCACGTGGAAAAACTACCTACAAAGTAGTCCTGGTAGAGAGCGTGAGTCAGAGTGCTAATCTCAGAGCAGAACAGGAGATCAGACAGGCTTACACAGCTAGCTGACAAGGTGTCATATTACTGTATGTACAGCTCAGCCTGTTAGCACAAGTTAAGATTAAGTTAAAATGAAGGATTTAGCACAAATCCAAGGAAATGTTAAATAGGAGTAAATTGGTAGCAATGAAAAAATTAATGAATCTTCAACATATGGGATCATAGTAGCTACAGTATAACGTGCAGAATACATGTATGCATTTGTTTAGAACCACCAATACACATATCATATACCACTGTATCAAATAGATAAATTAAATAAGTGACCTTACTGTACATAAAGGAATGAATGAATAAACAAACAAACAATCCTCTCTTTCAGACCGTATTGCTCAGAATATCATCAAATCCCACTTGGAGACATGTCAGTACACAACAGAGGAGCTGCAGCAGCTAGCCTGGCAGACACACTCCTATGAAGAGGTCAAAATGTACCAGAGCAAGGTGAGCCAGCTACTCCTGCCATACTGGAGGTTTAAAATTGCGTCATTGTCCCGTTCAATGCATTGATGGAACGGACAAAGACGATTTCCTTATGTTGTACTCGAGACAGAACCTTTAACTCTAAACCCTGGTTGTGTTTGGTTCTAGCCCCGGGACGTGCTGTGGCAGCAGTGTGCCATCCAGATCACCCATGCAATCCAGTACGTGGTGGAGTTCGCCAAGCGGATCTCAGGGTTCATGGAACTGTGCCAGAATGACCAGATCCTCCTGCTCAAGTCAGGTGAGTTGACCGGACGGACAATGACGGGTCAGGGAGATCTCAACAATAATGTCCTGTGCCGCCTCTTTGTCAGAATATCACAGTCTGTCTCCATGGTTCTTCCAGGTTGTTTGGAGGTAGTCTTGGTGCGGATGTGCAGGGCGTTCAACCCTCTCAACAACACTGTGCTTTTTGAAGGGAAGTACGGAGGCATGCAGATGTTCAAAGCTCTAGGTAAGACATTACTACCTATGCATTTCTTCTGGGTATAAATGACCAATGGCCAATTAATTGCAATAAAAAGGGGAAAATGCAAAAAAATAAACTGAAAAAACATTGACATGACTGGAATAAGTGTAATAAAAATCTCTCTTTTTTGTCTGCCCTTCTCCGTCCTCTTCTCTGTTTCCCTCCAAGGTTGTGATGACTTAGTGAGTGCAGTGTTTGACTTTGCCAAGAGTTTGTGTTCGCTGCAGCTGACAGAGGAGGAGATTGCTCTGTTCTCAGCAGCTGTACTAATTTCCACAGGTCAGTGCATGTTCCCAAATATTATTAGAATAGAGGAACTAAACTGCGTGCCTGCACTGAATCAAGGCACTTAGCAGTAAGCAAAACAGGACAGACTGTTTTGTGTCAAAGTCATTAAGCTGCATCAACTTTATGAGCAGCTTTCCAATCAACACGTGTCAACTCAAACCTATCAGCATTAAAAAATAAACACTTCTTTCCTTTTTTATATTCAGATCGGCCGTGGCTGATGGAGCCTCGGAAAGTCCAGAAGCTCCAGGAGAAGATCTACTTTGCTCTGCAGCACATTATGCAGAAGAACCACATGGACGAAGACGCGTTGGCTAAGGTAAGCCTTAAACTTAAGTCATATCAAGGTAGACCCTGAGGCATTGTCCTTAGGCTAAAGAAACAAAGTCAAACTCCTCTGGCCTCAAGGCAAAAAGCACAAGAAGCTCAACTTTTACACAAAAAACTCTCTTTGAATCTTCCGAGTCTAAATTCCCTCGTCCTTGACTGTCTCTCCCTCTCGTCTTGCAGCTGATCAGCCGAATCCCAACGTTGTCAGCCCTGTGCACGCTCCATACCGAGGAGCTCCAGGCCTTCCAGCAGCTCCACCCAGAAACAGTCAACATCCTCTTCCCTCCACTCTACAAAGAACTCTTCAACCCCGACCCCAACTCTGCCATGGCCATGCCCAAGTGACTGCCTGTGCAACAAACGGCGTCAGTGGAGGAACAAGAAAATGAGACCACAGCCACGTCTGACGAGACGACAGCGGCTGTGTCGACCATGTCATCACCGTGGCAACCACATATTCCTGAGCTCCCCCAGCCTCATTTCAGGCTGGAGGGTGAGGAGTCATCTGCCAGAAACTTACAGTTACCGCCAACAATACTAGGAATGTCCAGCACTTATTCCATCCTGTTCACCGATACAGTCTGAAGAATGTATATATAAATGAAACGCGCCCCAAGCCACAACCTATGTGGGGCTTCCTCCTGTCTCCTGAACTGAACTGACTGACCAGAAATGTACAGACTTTAAAACCATCTAGGAACAATTTTAAGCTGTCAATCTTTAAAAAAAAAAATGGGTAAGTTAATTTGTTTTAACTTTGAAACTTTTTTTTTTTTTTTGATTTTGTTTTGGTTTTTTTCATGTGAAGAAATTGTGAAATTGAAGAAGCTGGATGGGGAGGGAACTATGGATTTAGAGAAGCTATTGTAGATATTCTTCTAGTGCAGAGCGGATTCCAGTATTACTTCTTGTTCTGTTAAAATAAGTTAGTCCTAATTTAAATATACAGCAGTCCACTTTGGCTGACTATACCGTGTCTATGTGTTTTTATTTTATTTGATAGTTTCTCGTGTACAGAATTTGTAAAGTTGAGACTTGTAAAAGAATATTGGGTAAAACCGGGAGTCGATTCGGGTTTTGTTGATATATAGAAGCCTTGTCTGGATTTTGTTCATATGTAAAGAAGGCACTGCATCCTTCTGATGAGAACTTATAGAATTGTAAAGAGAGCATATGAAGGATTTAAAAAGAAAAATAATGGGTACTACTTTTCAAGGTGAAGATATATACATAAATATTCTATTTTGCAAGTAAAAGAATCTGGCAGATTTGCCGTCCTATCAATAATTTTTTTCTCGCTGCAATAATTATGTCCAACTAAAGCTGGACTGCTTTCGAACAATCAACCAGAAACAACCAATCAGAAGCTAGGACCTCACAATAAACCCAACCTCTTCCCAAATTCCCCTCACCCTGCCCCTTATTTCTTATGTATTAGGGCCTTGACGTGAGATTTCAGCAGACATAAGTGCATCGAAATCACAATGAAGAAGTGGATGAAAAATTCCACCAAAAAAAAGAGACAAGAAAATCAAGACAAACTTGAATTTAACTCACAACTTGCCAATCTTCAAGAACTTGTGTGAGTGCTGTACGCCCTCATCCCTCCCGTCACTATTTGCACAATCCAGTCCGTGGATGTCAATCATTCCAGGCTGTGAATATGAAGGACCCTTTTCTCTAAAGAGCAATAACTTTCACACTGCCTTTCTGATCTTACTCCTCTCTTTACCTTCTCTTTCTATTTTCAGCTGTTCAAAACAGGGTAGCAGTTTTAAAAAGAATGCACTATATTTGACTCTTGATCATTAATTATGTCTAACATTTATCTCTATGGATGGTACTCATTCCACCACAGACTCTACAGTGTTTTTTAACGTGACACAACGTGAACTGGGGTTAGGACTTAACACAGACGCACTGATTGAAAGATGTGAAGAAATGCAGCCTTCAATGATTTTTTAAAGCTACAATATTACATTGACAGGTCACACAGAAAGCTGTGATAGACAATCACTATTTTTGCTTTTTTTCTTAGTCATTCCATAGTTATTAGCACTTACCGATCATTGTTGCTGCTTTCTACATTAATATTGTGTTGATTAGCATTTGGCCACTGTGTAAAATCACACTGGGCGTTTGTATCATCTGTGCATGTTGTTGAAGTCTTTTGGTAGTTACCACCATCTTGTGATAAGTGAAGGAACAATGTGTATGCATTACTTTCGTAAACAGATCTATGATGAGCTTTGACAAATCTCCAAGTACAAGGCAAAAGCTTCATTTAAAGCTACTTACTCAAATAAGTGACCCCCGACACAATAATAGCACAAAATTCATCTTCAATACAAAAATGACAATTTTGCTGGGTGGAACTGCACTTAGACTTTTACCTTAATTTGAATTACTATGATTAGTTGACCCTGATTCAGTGTTCCTTATTCACTAAAAGTGGAGCTCGGTTAGGTTGTTTACAAATGTTCATTGCACAGTGGCCAAATCTTCAACTTCACCTATAAGCTTGGACACAATCGAAGTCATTAACATGAAAAACCATTTAACCATTTTCATCCTCACGCTGCGTCTCACTGATCCACTCACAAGATCCTTCCTTCGACCCCTGACCCCGACCCCAGATCAGAGGCCAGTGACTCTTAAGACAATCACTTGCTCAGTAAGGCTCGATGCACTACACAGCATCTCTCAGGGAGCAGCTCTTTTTCTGACTTTGCATTAAAAGAGGGTTTAATATTTTTGCAAATTTACAAAAAATTAATTATAAAAGAATAACTTTTTAGGATAAAAAAAAAGGCATACGCCGCCAAACGTATGCAGGCAACGGAATCTGCCCAGACAAGGCTTTGATAAGTGTGTGTCTGTGTGTATGTGTGTATAGAGCATGAATTCACTGTCCAAATCTCTTTACAGCCCAGACTATATGACAAGCATTGTTACGTAGCACATGAAGAAAAACAAAGATATATACTGTATGTCGGTGTGCTCTTGTCACCACTGTGCACTCATGTTTACTGCTTAGTTTGCTGCTTTTCGGGACAGTGAGGGAAGCCCACTAGTAAGCTGTGAATCAAGCGCCATCACAACATCCCTGGGACAGTGAATTCCAACTCTGAATATGAATTTTTGTGTGTGATGTTTTTATTTTCCCTTGTTAGACTGTGAATCAGAGGGGTGGGATGGGGTTATGAGAGGAGATGTGCTGGTAAGAACGAGTGGCAACGCAACACTGTAAGTAAGATACTGTAGCAATAAGAACTGGAGGCATTTACTACTGTCATGTTTGCATTGTAAGATTATTTTTTATTTTATTACTATTTACTATTATTATTGTTCTTATTATGACTACTATTCTTCTATTACTATTAGCCTATTGTTGTTCTGTTCTATTTGCATGACGTTTCATTGCAATGAAACATTTGGGGCTTATTTGTGTTTTCTCTTCTCATGATATTGTGAGTTTCGTGGGAGGGGGTTATTGGCAGGGTGGGCGATGGGTTTAGGGCAAATTCCACCTCAATTCAGTCAGTTCAAAGCAATTTTTTCACAAGCTGAAAGAATTTTTAAATAAAAAATGCTCTTATTTATACACAACCAATTTAAATTTTGTTGTTCGATTTGAAATGATTTTTATTTTTTTTTCTCAACCTTTTGAATGTGTGAGTTGGTATAACCAGTCAGCGAACGGCCCTTTCTGAACTGGCCTTATTGAACCGGATCAGAGACCCTTAACCTGCGGAGGGAGGGAACGATGTGGGGAGGGGTAATCTATTCTGAATGTTATGGAGTAGCCTGTTCAGTGTGAGGGGCTGAACGCATCATGCGCCTTTACCACTCCATCAACCCAGACTGACATCGCGGAGCGCACAATAAAACTAGTCGTCATTCTGCGTGACGGCTCGGACAAATTGCGCAAACATTTTTAATACACTTGGTTTAAAATGCATTTCCTACACTTGGTCAAATACACTCCAGCCCAAACTTCCTTCTCCCTTTCCTGAGAAGACCTGAGTGTGTGTGTGTGTGTCTTCTGGTCTGAGAGAGAAACAGAGAGAATGACATGATGTTTGCTCTACCAATGCTTTGTAAACTTTCTTGATGCATTACACATGCGTGCAATTGGAGTAGTGTTGAAAATTTGTTAAGTTATTGTTTAGAATGTCTTTGCATCCCAGCAAGAGCAAATAAAACAAAATGTAGCAATCTGTAACCGAAACCTAAAAGGTGCTTGGGCTACAGAACCTCTTTTACACAGGACTAACAATACAAAACAAAAAAAATACAATAAAATGAGACTTTTTGTTTTTTGTTTTCAAAGTGCCATAGCTAGTGAGGAGAGGATTGGCAGAGTGGGGCGTAGATGCTTTACAGTGTGAGTTTACTTGAGAAACCAATCAAAAAAAAAAGGGGAACTCTACTCAAAATGTGT